CGTTTTTTTTAGAATTTTACCGAATTGATCTCGAGATAATTTCAGTTTCTGTTTGGCTTAGGAAGTGGTATTTTATGGATTCAGGCCTAAATCTAGTTTAAACTATATTATTAATTCAGTACTTCTAAACTAGCTTACAGGTGTTGAGGTACAGATACAAATTCCACTGAACACAAGGTGAAAAGGTTAATTTTGTGTTAATTAATGCCCCTCCTGGTCCCCCACACTGATCTCTTTGCTGGCTGGTTTCCTTTGCAGGGGGGTCGAGGCCAAGCAGCCCAACTCTGCCATCAGGAAATGTGTCAGGGTCCAGCTCATTAAGAACGGCAAAAAAATCACAGCTTTTGTCCCCAACGATGGCTGCCTGAACTTCATCGAGGTAATTGCCCAGCCCCCTAAAAAGGGTGAAAATCAGATTTACTGCCTCAGCACTGATTAAATCTGGTGATGGGGCTGGGTTTGGTGGGCACCCTGAGCGTTCCCAGGCTGTGCTGGGGCAGGTGCAGCTCCCTCGGGGCGTGTTTGGGGCTGGCTCTGGTGCTCACTGTCCCTGTCCTGTGCCAGGAGAACGACGAGGTGCTGGTGGCCGGCTTCGGGCGCAAGGGCCACGCCGTGGGGGACATCCCTGGCGTGCGCTTCAAGGTGGTCAAGGTGGCCAACGTGTCCCTGCTGGCCCTCTACAAGGGCAAGAAGGAGAGACCCAGGTCGTAAACCCTCACCGGCCTGACAGGAACATCAATAAAATCTTGGGTTTTAAAAGCGTTCTCTGCTTCTTACTCAGGGGTTGGTGCAGGAGATGGGGAGGTCACGTAAATCTAAAAAAAAAAAATTGAATTTTTCCCTAGGTCTGGCCAAGGAAAAAGCCCAAATCCTAATGTTCCTTTGGGAGTACTAATCAGGAATCAAAATATCCCCTCATGGCATCACAAACTGCAGGAAATTTAAAGCATAATTGTGAAAAAGAGCCTTTCTCACATGAAAAAGCCCCGCTGGAGTGCTGGGAATAGTGGTGTTTGTGGCAGCACTTCCAGCCTCAGGTGTGAGCAGAGGCACAGAACCCACTGGGTTTGGGCCCTGAAGGAATGATTGGACCCAACCCAGAGAGTTTCACTTCTGTTAAGTTTAAATTAACTGTGCTTATTTTGGGGTGAGTCTGCCCAATTTGAAAACACTGTTGTAGTACAGCAGCACTGTGCACTGACTTGGGTGTCTAAATTTTTACCTGCTTAGCCAGATAAAAATGCATAGTCCAGGGGTTTCTTTGTGCAGTAAAACCTCAAAATATTTGGCTGAAGTCAGGGTGAACAATTCCCTTGTTACGACTGCATGGTGAGGGAAAGGCTCTGAATCAAATAATTCACTTGTTTATATAGGTATTCATGTGAGAATTCAGCAATTTATAAAGAGAGAAGGAATCTTTAGAATACGTTCAGAATCCCTCCCGAGGTTTCGGTAGCCCAGCTCCTGGGGGAGGCAGAAGGGATGGGGACTGTCCCATGGCGGTTCTAGATTTCCAAATTCCACAGGGGGAACATTCAGCGGGGGCTGTCGTGAGGCCGTGTCGCCACCAGGTGTCGCGACAGGAGCGGGGAGGGGACAGCTGAAACGGAAATGCTCGAGACGAGAACTTGTGTGGGCTGTGACAAAGGAAACGGGGAAATCGGAGCGAACCGGGGCTGCGGAGAGGCACCAGAGCAGCCCCGTGCTGGATCCAGGCTGGGCTGAGCAGGGGAAGCAGCCCTGGGGGTGCTGAGGGGCAGGGCTGGGACCCCAAAGCCCCGTGCTGAGCCCAGAGCCCAGAGCCCCGTGCTGGGCCCAGCCCAGCGTGGGCAGCAGGGCAGGGGCGATTCTGCCCCTCTGCCCCTCAGTCAGAGCCCACCTGCAGAGCTGCCCCAGCCCTGGGCCAGCCCAGCAAGGAGCTGGAGCTGCTGCAGCCAGGCCAGAGGAGGCTCCAGCACGGGCAGAGGGATGGAGCAGCTCTGCCGGCAGCCAAGGCTGGCACAGCTGCCATTGCTCACCTGGGCAGGAGAAGCTTTGGCCTGAGCTCAGGGTGGCCTGGCAGGGCCTGAAGGGGCTGCAGCAAAGATGGACACAGACAATTGCCAAGGGCTGCAGGGACAGCAGCCGGGCAATGGCTGCCAGTGCCAGAGGGCAGGGCTGGCTGGGATCTTGGCAATGAGGAATTGTTCCCTGGCAGGGTGGGCAGGCCCTGGCACAGGGTGCCCAGAGCAGCTGGGGCTGCCCCTGCATCCCTGGCACTGCCCAAGGCCAGGCTGGACACTGGGACACTGCGAGGTGTCCCTGACATGGTGGCACTGGATGGATTTTAAGTCCCTTCCCACTCCAGCCATCCTGTGATTCTGATGGTGTGCCAGTGCCCAGGAATAGTTTGTGTTACCTGGACTCTGCAGGAAGAACTCAGAGAAAGATGAGCTCAGCAAAACGTCACCAAATCACTACTAGAGTGTTTTAGAGCCTAAAAAAATACGTGTTACATAACCCAACATCCTCCCAAATAGAGGAGAATCCACAGCTGGCCACGTTTTCCACCTCATCACCAAAACTAATTAATATTTTCACTTATTAAAGCAGCTGGCCAGCCCATCTGACACCAGCAACACCTGACTGAACAATAACGCTGCTACAGGAGATGTTGTTTTGTAACACACTTGAGGAAGGTGTTAAGAGGGTGCTCTGTAAATCCATTCTCTGTTCAAACACAGCAGTGAAATCCCCTCTGCCTTAAGGTGAATTTGTCTTCAGGAGGTGACAGCTGCAACAAGCTCTCAAGTGGGGAACTGAAAGCTTCCTCGTGGCGCAGGGTTTTTTAAGATTTCATGAAATCCAAGAGACAAAAACCTGTGTGACACCTCCCTAATCCTGAGCACTCAATACAGGGTAACTTCTGCAGCTCTCAGCTTCAGGCTTTTTTTTTTTTTTTTTTTTGTTTCATTCTAGGTGATAAGAATTTATTGCTAAAAAATCCACCAAATTCCTTGAAACAAATTCCTTTTAAAAGCCCACACGTTGCTAAAAATAGGTATAAATACCCATACACCCGCTGTTCTCTACAAGAGAGTATTTTTGAGGGAATAATTGTAATTTCACCATTCAGAGGGAAGAGCAATCGTCCTTCCTTTGTGCTGGCACTGAATTTATACGTGTGCAATATAAATACAGATGTCCAAACAGACTCATGAAACCATCATCATAGCAAAGAGGGAGGGGGGAAAAAAGTTATTGAGAAAGTTTCGCTGAAATTCATGGAGTTGCAGCAACAATTGATACTGATTACTTGGCTGTATTTAGCTGTAATTAAGTAGCTCCACATTTCCTGCCAGGAAAGGAATGTTCCTGTTAGTGAGCAAAGCCAGGCAACCTCAAATCTCCTGGCAGGGGGTTAAATTCTTACCTGGTCATGCTGACACAAATGAGGGATTATGTATGTGGCTACCAACTGCACTCTCCAGAAAAACACATTTTTTGGCCTAGGTGAACACATAAAATTAATTCCTCTTGATGATTCTGGCAACCCAGGGCAGGTATGAGACTGCTCTCTCTTACAAGAGCTCCCCAGAAGTGAAGAACGTCCCTGGATGCGTCTTCCCAGATTAGCAAAGATGAACAACTGAGCAAATTTACAAATCTAAACTGGAAATTTTCTCCTTGGTAGGATGCAAGAGGTCAGACAATGCATGTAGACAAAACCCAAGCTCAGGTCTAAGGATCTTCAATAGTTTAACTAAATAATGAATCACAACATAAAATAGAATCACAAAACAGTGCCACAATTCACTTGATTAAAAAATATATATATAATTTTCATGCATAAAAATTCAGTTAAGATATCCTAAGTCATTAGGGCGCAAGTGTAAACAGGAAATTGGTTGCTCACCTCTCACCCCAGCCACTAAAAAGGAGATATCCAAATGGACTTATTTATCTCCTTGGTCCCAAATATTTATGTTAGCCTGTATTTGTTTCTCTATCTAACCTCCATGTATTTCTACTAACTGAGCTGAATTTTAGTTTTCCAGGCAAATTTCAGGGAAGCATTGATACTGATGAGACACAGCACTGTCACCTCACTGTTTGGGCCCAGTGTAATGCCCTGGTCCAATAATGCCCTTCTTTCTTTGCAAATGGTGAGTTAGGGTAGAAAGCAATGGGTGTTGAGACATGTTCCATGTAAAATACAAATATTTATTTTCCTTTAGATATAAATTCCACATTTTGAAGGCTGAGTGCTTCTACTGTTCCAGGGTATCACAAGTGAAGACGACAGAGGAGGGGTGAACTTTCAACAGCTCCTAAACCTGCTGTTATCTCTTTTTGTTGGCTCTTCCTCCTGTCTAAGTCTCACTTAAATTTAAAAATGGGCTGTGGATGCAATTATCAAGCATGTGTTACCAAAAGTGTTAAAAAAAATAATCAATGTAGCTGTGGGCCATATTTTGTAAATCTTACATGGGGAAAATGGCTTTTCAGGTTGATATGACACAGAACAAAATAAACTATATGTGCTTTCATTATTAATTCCAAATGTCTGGCAAACAAATTCTGCGCCCATGGAATTTGAAGGACTGCACTCTGTATTCCCTGCCCACCAATGGCAAGTAATGGAAGTCATCATTTGAAAAAAGAGAATCTGGAAATGTGAAATCCCAGCTCTGACGTGGCACACCCTAGACTCTGCATGCAAGTGACAACTGCTGAATGTACAGGGTGAAATGTGTGCTCCAGTGTCAGCTGCTCACACTCCGTTTGACGCTGCAAACAAAATGGGAGTGGGAGAGAAGCCAGGGTGGGTGGCTGGGGAGCTCCTCATCATCTGGCTCCCCGTGGCAGCACCACCAGGCAATCCCCAAACCCCAACAGCTGTGCAGGGCAGGCAGCACACCTGTGAACAAGCACAGCTACAAGGAGAAACACTGACTGGGAACAACAGCAGCTCCCGGGGGCACGGGGAGCTCCCCTGGCAGGCAGCGGAGCAGGGCAGAGCCAGATGCTCCCACAGGGCTGCTCCAGGCTCCTGAGCCCCAGAGCTGGACCTGCTCACTCCGTGCAGGCTCCAAGGGCTCTGTGTGTGACAGCCCCGTCCCCTTGGCTCCCTGAGGTGTGATGTGTGGGGGATATTCCTGGGATGAGGATGTTCTGTGTGCTGGGGAACACGGGCTGGAGAAGGTGGCTCCCAGCCTCAGCCCACACCCTGGGTGCCACAAGATCACACCACATCCCACAAGCATTTTTCCATTTTGCTTTCTCTGCCCCACAGATGGTGCAGATTTTCTAGAGGTAAGCTCAGTAGACCCAGCAACTCTGGCTCTGGCTTGTGCATCTGTGTGCAGCCTCAGCAGGAGATGAGTGACTTCAAGGGAGGTCAGGCCTGGGTGGTGCTGGGGAGGTGCTCCCAGAGCTGCAGCCAATTCCCACATCCTCAGTGTGAGCTCTGGCCACAGAAAGAGCCATGAGCAACCATTTGCATTCTGGCATGGCTGAGCAGCCAGGAAGGACCCTTCCACTTCATGCCTAACCACTCCCAGTCCTTCAGCTCAGGGCCCTGGAGAGGGGACAGCAAACACAGAAAAAGGAGTTAAATCAAAATCCTTGCAGCAGTAATGCCAGACCCCCAACCCTGTGCTGGGGGAACCAATATAAAACACTCCTCCACACCTGAGAGGGACCCCAGGAGCTCAGGGACACTCTGGACTCATGAAGGCTGTCAGCAATGGGCTGAGCACCTCTCTCTCTCTGCACAAATTTTCATTGCAAAGCAAGTGAGGCAACAAGGCAGGCAGCTAAGCAAAACCCTGAAAGGGGAGTCCTAAATTAAGCAAGAGCTTCAAAAGGAGGAGGAAATGGTTCTGCCATTATCCATCTGATCTTTGGAGCTGGAGGGTGGGAGAGGAAAGGATGATTTCCATTTCTCTTACCTTTCAGCCACAGCTGTGCTCTGCTCAGGTGCCAGTTTTGCATAACTCAAAGGCAGATTCAAGCCCACAACTGGGCCTACAGTACTGAGCCACAGTGTGATGTAATTTATGTGTCTAGGGAGAAAAAAAAAAACACAAAAAAGCACCATAACTGTATTATCCCAGCTTTTTCTGAATTACAGACTCAACAGTCACAAAACAACTTCAGATGGGGCTGTTCCTTCACTTTTCCTATCACAACTGTATTTTTAATTTTCAGGCCTGATGTGACAACACAGGAATCTTACTCTGCTGGCACTAAGGAAGCAGCTTTGTGCATTTCCACCCTGCAGCTCATTGGCTTTACCTGCACTGCAGAAAGCCCAGCATTGCCCCTCACCTGTGGTGCTCCTGTGAGCCTCTCAGCACAGCAGAGATGAATTCATTGGTTCGACAGGGGTGCAGGACAAAGAACGGCTGCCCGAGGATGGGGTGCTCCTAAGAGGGAACAGAATTTGCTTTGTCATGGAAGGGAAAAACACAAAACTCATCATGTGCATCTGGAAAAGACCAGGCAGGGTGCAACGAGTCCCTGATGCAACTTCCCTCACTTCAGAATCTCAGCTCATATTGCTCTTCCTATCTCAGTCATGACAAATTAAAATATATTGTATGTATTACACATCAATAATATATATTCTCCTCTGCTTAAAGGGAAATAAGATCAGCAACCAGGCTGTGCCACTATTTTAGTTAAAACAATAGTTAGTGGAAGTAACTCAAGTTACTGTATCAGCATTAACTGGCCGTGGAGAGGCGAAGCTGCTGTGCAAAACACAGTTTGATCAAATGTAACACAGAAAACCCATTCCCCACAGGAAAAAAGGTCTGCAACCACCCTGAGCCCTGGTGTCTTCTCAGGCTGGTGCTGGGAAACACACATGGTTCTGCTTGGAGAGGCAGCAAGAAGGGAGAAGGAAGTGCCCTCAAGGTGGCTTCAACTTCCACTTGGTGCTGAAAATGCTCTCATGAGGATCAATCCCTTTATGTCTAAGAGAACTTGAAAAAACTCCCAGAAGCTTCAGAATATACCAAAAAAGGGTGTTCAGAAAGCTTTGTTTCACACTGCAAACAGATAACTTGCATAAGAATGCTACCATCTGCTGTTGTCAAAAGTGAATTGATGCAGTTTTTCTTTGAGAAAGAGTAATATTTTGAATTAAAACCCCCTTTTCATATTCTGCTCAAATTAACTTGGGCCTCCAAATAATTCCAGAAAATACATGGACTGTACCAATGGTACACCTTTAAGACAGCAAAAAAAAAGTACATAGTTAATAATATTTACAAAACTATTATGCAAAGTAAAAAAAGAAAATTGTGCAAAAAATTTCAGCAAGCGTCACAAACTCTCAGAAAGAAGAGAGAAGTAACCTGGGTTTAAGTGACTCAGCTCCCTTAAAAAGGCATGAAGACAATTCCCAAAGCTGAATATTCAGCCTAAAGTTATTCACAACCATCCTGACCCCCAGTTTTTGATTTTGCCCTGCACTCCTTGCTACCACAAACCACTAGTGAGTGACACATGGAGGCCAGACTTGACTTTGTAAAACAGTTTATTATCTTTACATTCTACAACTGTCTTCTTTTAGTCCTTCTTCTTCTTAGATGACAGCAGAGTGACACTGAAAACATTCCCAAACGCAGGAATTTCATGCTACTCTGGACAGGAACGTGTCACACACTCACAGGAAAATCACAGAAGTACAAGAAATCAAAAGAAATCCTGAGCCAAGAGCCATTAAGGAGCAGCCTTTAAAAAGGGAGAAGGCTGAGGTGGGGATGAGAAGCTTGTGGAGCATCAGGGAAAACACTGTGAGAGCATCAGCTCTGATTCAGTCAAATGCTCCCTTCCCAATCCTGTAGACAATGGCATCATCCTGTGAGGCTCTGATGTGCACTCAAGGTTAAATCACTGACACAGCAGCTCTGAGGAGGCAGCGTGGGGAAGCTGCCAATGAAAATGCAGGGGTTATCAAAGCCCTGGATGATTTCAGAATTGGCAATGGGCTGCAGAGCCTCTCCCTGGCAGGCCCCCAGCCTGCCCTGGGAGACGGTGAGGTGCCTGTGGTGGGATGAACCCCAAGTCCTTCTCAAACACTGTCAGAAGGGTGAAAATGAATGGAAGTTTGTGCTGCATCAGCTTCGTTAGCATCAGCTCACTGCCTGCTGCACTCACCTGGCAGAACGATGACACTCCACATGCACTGAAATATAATCCTGAGCAAAATAGGAGGGCAGCAATTCTACCCTTCATCTAGGCTGGTCCTGTGCCAGCTACACCAAAAATACACAGTCCTACTGGGACTTCATGAAGAAAAACCCCAAAACAGTACAAGCAATATGTAAGAATCATCCATTTCTTGTTTACAATTAATCTTTTTCCAGTCAGTCAGTGTGAGAGTTTCAAGTCAATTCCCACAAGCACTCGCTGGCGTTGCACTGCAAGAACCCATTTGCAGGCTGCCCACAACTCTTCTGGGCAGTAAGACTCTGACACACAGTTTATTTGAAATCAACAGCATTATTTCCTTGGATCTGTCTATGATTTTGGATCTATCCAGCTATGAGGCTGATTTACAGCAGCGCCTGTTCAGCACCACACGCTGGAATCCATCACACATCATCTGCATATCCCTCTGAGTCTGACCCAGCTGGGAGGGGGAAGGAATGCTTTCACAGCCAGGCACCAGCTCTGCTGAATTGGGAAGCTCAGAATGTTGCTTCATTTATTTGCTGTGGAAAGACCTCTCTCCCAGGTGATGCAGGAAAGATGTGTGAGGATGTTCTGTGCCTGCTGCTGTAGCTGCTGCCTCAACCTCTCCCATTAAAAAAAAACCTGGGAGGGAGAGATGGATGCAAGACACAAAATGTTCCATGGGATAGATTGAAAATTAATCACAGAGTGCAGGAATGGTTTGGGTTGGGAGGTGTCACAGACATATTTTATGAAACATTCTTTTATTCTTTTGACAGGATTTTTCTCCTGAGAAGTCTCAGAGGAAAAGAAAAACAATAATTATCTGCTGCTGTGGAATGCAACAGGTGCATCTTTGAGTGGTCCATGTGAGTTGTTTTTAATTAACGGCCAATCACAGTCCAGCTGTGTTGGGACTCTGGTCAGCCACAAGATTTTATTATCATTCCTTTTCTTTCTTTGCTTGCCTTCTCATGAAACCCCTTTCTTCTATTCTTTTAGTATAGTTTTAGTATATCATTTTCTTATAATATAATATATATCATAAAACAATAAATCAGCCTTCTGAAACATGGAGTCAAGATTCTCGTCTCTTCCCTCATCCTGGGACCCCTGCAAACACCACCACAGGGAGGGGCCTTAAATCCCATCCCATCCAATCCCAGCCATGTCAGGGACACTTTCCACTGTCCCAGTGTCCAGCCTGGCCTTGGGCAGTGCCAGGGATGCAGGGGCAGCCCCAGCTGCTCTGGGCACCCTGTGCCAGGGCCTGCCCACCCTGCCAGGGAACAATTCCCAATTCCCAAGACCCCAGCCAGCCCTGCCCTCTGGCACTGGGAAGCTGCTCCCCACATCCTGACTCTGGTTTGCTCAGGAATGCCAGCCCAGGCTCTGGCAGCACAGCTCTGTTCACTGCCTGTGCAGGTCCAGGGCTGAGCAGGGAAATGTCACAGCACGGATCTGAGCAGTGGCAAGGACCGGGCAGTTCCCAAGCACAAGTATAATTAAGACTAACCCTCTGTCAGATTGGATTAAGTCATTTTATCACGCAGTCTCCATGTTGGATTTAAACCAAAAATAAACATTACTTCAGATAAGGGGTAATTGTCTGTAGGTTTCTGTACCGTGCTCTGCTGCTCTCCTCCCCAGCCAGCAGGAATTTTGTTGTCAGTACATCTCTTGTAACAGCACCATTTATTTTCCCTGTCATAACTGGAGCTCTTCCAGGGGTAATGGCTTCTATTTTCTCCAGTGCTACATTAAACTGCCTTCAAGCATCCATCACAACATTTATGGTCTCTCCATTGATGATAGTTCAGGGGATTTGTGCCTGAAACTGCCTCTTCCCCAACCTGGTTTGCATGATGTTGCTTTGCAAAAACAAATTCACACAGGGTTGTCAAAAAGTTCATGTAGGATCCTACCAGCAAGCACCACAGCCAGTGCCAATCAATTCCACACATTTTCCCAGCAGTCTCCAGGTCAGAAAAAGAAGGCAGAATTAATAAAACATGCCTCCCATAATCTCTTCCATTTAGGAAAAGGAAACAGTGATGCAATTAATAAAGAGTATAAACTTTTCCCCTTTTTTCCAATTTCTGACCACATTTACTGAAACAAACAGCTGAGTTTAAGTAAAAATTCTTCACTCAAGATTATATAAGTAATTTATGTTCTTGAATTCATAGTCTATCTTCTTTTTTATTCCTTATTTTCATACACATCAATAGTAACTTACTTGTTAATATAACCCAACTCCACACATTCAGAAAGAGGGCAGGAAGATTTCTCTCTTCAGACTGACCCTGAGTCCCACAGCCAGAACAGCAACTGCACACATGGAAATTCAAACCTGTGCAACTTGGGGTCAAAGGGATTTTCCTCTAATAATGGAATTACTACAATGGAAAATCTATTACCATGGAATCACTGTGCTGCAAGCACCACGTTAAGGAACTGTAATGACACAGGGAAGTTTTACAATCCTGACAGAAGGTGTAAATTACAGTCATAAAGCTGTTGGTAGCAGAATAATTGTACAGGGCTTCTCCGTCCTACTGACTCAGGGTGATGCTGGATTTTGGGCAGGAATTGTTCCCTGGCAGGGTGGGCAGGCCCTGGCACAGGGTGCCCAGAGCAGCTGGGGCTGCCCCTGCATCCCTGGAAGTTGGTTGGAGAGGGCTTGGAGCAGCCTGGGACAGCAGGAGGTGTCCCTGACCATGGGGATGAAGTTTCAGGTCCTTCCCAACCCAAACCAGTCTGGGATTCTGTCACCTGGACAGGTAAAATGTATTTACAGTCACTGACTTCAACTCTCGACCAGAAGCCGACTCATCCTGCTGGCATAACTGAGGCAAGTTTCCCCAGCTTTGCAACAAAACAAAACACAGAAACCCCACCAAACTCAAGAGCTGGAGGTGGAACAACCTGCCCTGCCTGTGACAGTGCTGAGGAATGACCTGGCAAGTGCCACTGGCACTGCTCTCCTGCCTTTCTCAGAAAATCAAAGCAGGTCTGCATTGGCATAGAGCAGGGGGAAGCGTGATGCGACCCTGACAACACAGAGAAGCGCAAAGCAGCCCCCAAAAGCAGATTTCTGTGGTCACTGAGCCTTTGTGGGGGAGGCTGGTTTGATTTACACCCCAGCTCTCTGCAGGCAGCAGTTGCAGGTGCCCCCATGATTTAATGTCCCCGTTCCCAGGTGCTCCCAAAGACCCACAACCAAGCTCAGTGATGATTT